CTTGCCAGTGAATTCAAGGAAGATCTTGTTAAAGACCATGAGGGCGACCCCACTGCCTCCTTTTTCAGCCGTTTCAGCCACCAGATAAGTATCTGGAAAGAGGCGCGGGGAGCTAGCCAGACCAGCCCTCTGATCATGGACGAAGAAAAGGATTTGGACATCCCCCCAGGGCCCGACACCGAAGAGATACGGAGCTTGTCGAGGAGTTTCCAAACGGCCACCATCGCCATTGACGGGTTTCACCCTCGCCATGTCGCCCTCATTGGGGACGAAGGGCTCGGGGTCAAGTCGGGAGTCTTTACTTGTGTGAATATCCTCGGCAACAGTCCTGCGGGACTTCGTCAGCTCATCGTTGCTCTTGACTGGAAGCCGCTCGAAGGAAGGCGCCCATAGGTTTCTATCAGTCCACCACCGGACTTTACTCCAAGGGCCCGGCCAACGATTGCAGGGGATGGGAGCCTCGCTGCGCGGCCAGCCCCGTCTTCAACACGGCCCCGCACAGGTCGACCACGGACGCAGTTTGGCGCCAGGCTGTGCGAAATCACCTCCACCACAATCAAGGCATGTTTGTTGGGCTCCTGCTTGCGGACCTCAAACAGTGCGATGAACATGTGGCACAATCTGCTTTGGAATGAGTCTAAGGGCTGTATGTTTCCCCTCCACGTGGTGCGTTTTACTATCAACAGCTATCGCTGGCCTCGTCGCCGACTGATGGACCCGGCTCTCAGCGAGGAGATTGAACCCGCCCGCGAGGTCCTCCACGGCCACGTGCGAAATCAAGTCCTACATGCCCCCCCCCCCCCCCCACCCACCCATCCACCCCCCGCCGCCCGAGAGATCAAGTTAGGAGTTGACGAGGACCTCACCATGCACGTTGATGACATTACCACGTCGGTGGCCATGCCGACGGCCACGAGCTGTTTGAACTCGTTGGCCACCCTGGCAGGCCTTGTCTTCGACCAGCTCACCAACAGGTTGGAGCTTCCGATTGCTTTCAAGAAAATGCAGTTTACGACCAATTCCAGCGAGGTTGTCAGGCTGGCGCCTACGGCGCTAGGAGCTCACGGTCATACTGTAGTTGGGCACGTTGTCAATCTCGGAGTTGATTGCACCGCGGGAAAATCCAGGAGTTCCAGGGGCGCCCGATCCAAAAACAAGTCGCGGTGGAACAAAGGCCTTCGTAGGCTCATCCTGGTCAAGAAGCTCAGAGGAGCCACGGTCAAGAAGGGTAAGGTTCTTGTCTGCGGGGCCAAGCCCAGCCTCACCTACGGGGAGGAGGTCCAAGGACATTCCCCCACGGAGCTCAGAGCCCTGCGCCTCCAGATGGCCAAAAGTGTCGGACTCTGGGGAGAGGGGGCCAATCTTTATGTGTGCTGGTGCTTGGCCCCCAGCAAAGACCTTATTTCACGCGGGAGCCTGCTCCGCAGGTATTGTGCCGAGTGGTGGTCTGCCACTGACCCTTTGCTCTGTGCGAAAGACAACCTCATGGCGCGAGAACTCAGGGGTGCCTTCAGTCTGGCCAAGGGCCGATTTGACCCCCCCCCGCCCCCCCCACACACACGCACACACACACACACACACGCACCCCCAGGACGTTGGCATCAAGTCACCCAGAGCCCTCTGTCTGACATGTTTTACTGGTGCAAGCAAGCTGGTTGGGAGTTTGTGGACCCCGCCCGTGTTCGCACGCCTAGTGGTGTCGTTTGCAACGTCGCGCTCGCCCCGCCAGCCCAGATGTTTGACTTCTTAGGCAAGGGCCTGCAGAGGCAAGCTCCCCACAGGACCGTATGCGCCAAGTTGCAGGACGTGGGCCCCGACCGTGCTGCGCAGATACGAGAACGCGGGCTCTGGGCCCATCCTGCTTCGAGGGCCTGGAGCTCATCAAAGCATGCGCCTGCCGCAAAGCAGATCCTGCGTCAATTGTTCACTGGACGTTACTGCACAGGGACCCTTCTCCATCGACGGGGATGCCAAGTTTCCCGAAGTGTCAGCATTGCGGAGCCCCCGATACCCCGTTCCACCGTGTCTGGAGCTGCCCGTTCGGGGATACTCTTCGCCAAGATTTGGACGCTGAGCTCGTTGAGGCTGCGTTGGAGGCTGGCCCCTCGGACCCGCTCTACAACTGTCTTTGGCCCCCTGTACCCGTTATAGAGAACCCCCCCCCGACGCCGAGGTCGCGGGGCACTTGCGCCGTGGGGGCCCTATTGACCAGTTTGTTTGGGACACCCCAGGGGTCGAAGTTTCGATCGATGGGTCCGTGGTCCACCCCGCCGCCCCCCTCCTCAGCAGAGGAGGATGGCGTGCGGTCGAAGTTACCCCAAATGGGGACCTCCGCAGGGCTGTCCGAGGCGCCCCCCCTCCTACGTCCCATGTAACGCCAACGTGTCAGAGCATCATGGTCTGCTCCATGGCACGGCGCATTTTCATATTGACCATGACGCAGAGCCAGCCCGTGCCATTCAAGATTGCGCAGCTGTTGTGCATGGCGCAGCAACCCCTCTTCGCTCGCGTGACGGCCGCAGGCAACAAGCTGGACACTGGCGCCAAGTCTTTCTGAACACAGGCATGAGAGGCTGGACTATTCACAAGATGCGTACTCACCAGTCCTTGCTGCGCGGTGACAGGGGGGTGGAAGAGCAGACGAGGGTCCTGGGCAACCACTGGACCGATGTTCTCGCCAAAGAGATTGCCACAAATCAACTGAACCCCCAAGATGTGGAGCGTGTCGAGGCAGATTATAAGCAGTGGCTCGACGCGTTCCAAGCTTTCGTTTGTTTGCTCGAGCCCTGGGGTAAGTCTCGGGATTTGTTCGGAGACCTCCAGAAGATCCCCAGGGCTCCCAAAGTTTCCTCAAGAGGTCCCAGCCGTCACCGTTTGAAGTGGACCCTGAACAGATGGCAGTGCGTTGACTGCGGGAGGGCGACAGCTCGCCCACCATCGTGTCGCCGTGGGCCCTGCACCCCGCTGCCGTCTTCCTTGCAAGCTGTCCTAACGCATGCAGTCCCCTTGGAGCCCGCCCACGACCTGTGGGCAGGAAGTTTGGAGTCTGCGGGCACGGCTGTCCTGTTCTGTAACCGTTGTGGGTCGTACTCTACTGCTCGCGCGAACCACCTGTTGTGTCCGTGTACGACCCACAAGGTTGCCCAGCTAAGAATGCTTCGCAGTTGCAAGCTTCCATATCCCAAAGGGGTTCGGTTCTCGAAGCCGTGGCGGGTCTCTGCAGGGTTGTTCGCCCTTCACCCGCCTTTCGGGCTCTGAGCCGTTCGCCCTCATCACACTTCCTTTCACCCCTTTTCGGGGTTGCGGAATTCGTTCTAGGAGTGGATTTCCATTTCATCTGCCTTGTATGTAGGCGCCGGAGGAGGAGGAGGAGAAGGAGGAGGAGGAGGAGGAGGAGGAGGGGGGGAAAGGAGGACGAAAAGGAGAAAGGAGAGGAGACGGAAGAACGGGGAGTTCAGGCGAACGTGGGCACCAGGCGGATGAGGAGGGGGACGAGGAGGGACGAGGAGGGAGACGAGCAAAGGGGAGAGGAGGAGGAGGCACGAGGCAGTGAAGGAGGAGGAGGAGGAGGAGGAAGAGATTGAGGAGGAGGAGGAGGAGGAGCACGTGATGGATGAGGAGGAAGTGAAAGAGGAGGAGCACGTGATGGATGAGGAGGAAGTGAAAGGAGGAGGAGGAGGAGGAGGAGGAGGAGGAGGAGGAGGAGGAGGAGGAGGAGGAGGAGGAGGAGGAAGAGATGGAGGAGGAGGAGGAGGGGGAGGAGGAGGAGGAGGAGGAGGAGGAGGAGGAGGAGGAGGAGGAGGAGCAGGAGGACCCGACCGCCCGACAGCGGACCCGCGCGCTGGGCCAGGCAGGGAGGCCCCCCCCAGTGCGGGGCCCCGGCGGCGCGGGCGCGGGGCGCGCCGCCGCCGCCGCGGGGGTTCGCCGCCTCGGAGAGCAGAGAGCGGCACGAGCACCAGCCTTCCCGGGCGTTTCCCAGGCGATCGCAAGCATGGATCAGGGATCAGCGTGGCTTGGCGACGATTCCCGTTTCCATGGGCAGTCGCGGATCCTCGCCGCCGAGCCAGGCGGCAATGCAATGGCCGAATTGTGGGGAGGGCGCCTCCCCGGATCCATGGATGTGTCGACCGCGCGCCAAAAATCCATGATCGTCAATCCATGTCTGCGCGCCCTTTGAGTTGCCACGGGGTCCGGACCCCTCTGGATCGGTACGATCGGAAGGTCTGGGGAAGGAATTGGTACGAGGACCTGGGCCTCCCGGATGGTGTCCGAGCAGGTGGGGGGGCGTGGCCTCCTAGGAGACCGGCAATAGTTCCTGCCCGTTGCGAAAAGATTGCTCGTTGTCCGCGTTGTCGCGGGCGTCGTCCATTTGAGACAGGAGGCCGCCTGCCCAACAGCGGCCGCTGTTGGTCTTGGGCAAAATATGTTGTTCGGCGTCGTACCTACCCATTTCTTGCGTCCAAACTCGAATCGAGGTACACAAGATGACATAAACATCGATTTCCCTAGGTTCGCGCTGATTTCTCGGATCGGCGTTGGACAGTCTCCGTGGCGGCGCCTCCGGCGGCGCCCCTGGTGCGCTCCACGCGCAAGGAAAGGGCTTCAGCGCCGATGCCAGAAATCTGCGCGGGCCTACGAAAGCTGTTGTTTATCTTGGCATCGCTCGGACGTGTGCTTCGTTTTTCTCGACGAGAACCATCCAGGACCATCCTGGACCATCGAGCAAAAAAAAAACGCGCGAAACCGAAACATGCACGGGAAATGGACGTCCGAGCGACGGCAAGTTATGCCAGGATCTCTTCTTCGACCGAGGGGCGACGAAGCCACGGCCCCCGTCGACTCTCAGGAGAGTCGATGGTCTTGATGTCGCCACCTAATGAGTGGTGCTGGCCAGGGGTGGACCTAAACGGTGTTTTGGCGATTTCGTGGGCCGTCTTCGCTTCGATGTCGTCTTGCAAGAAAGGCGAACTCAATACAGAACGAGGAAAAGCGAAAACAAAGCGGAAACGAACAACACCGTTTATAGGTTCAGCCTTGCTGCTGGCTCTCTCGCCCCCGCACGGGCCACGCTTCTCGGTCCGATTCACGAGAGCTCGTGCTCGTGCAGCTCTTTCGCCTTCCGCCCGCCGCCCATGAGGCAGCGCCGCGATGTCGAGAGCGCACTGGACTTCGGAGGGCAAATCTCAGGGCGCCGGCAGGGGGGGGCGGAGGTGGATGGGCCTCCTACCCTGACGCGTCGATGAAGGGCTTGGCCGTTTTCGGCCCCAGGCCGCTTTCACCAAGGGGAGGTTTGCGAAAGGGAGGCGTGTGCACCGCCGTGGGGGGCCAGCCCACGGGGCGGGAGCAGCGGCCCCCCAAAGTGCCCAGCCGTCGGCCAGCGGGCGTGGGCCTCCCGCTCCGCCCGGGAGCGTGCGCGCGGAGTCGCCGGGAATTGTCGGGGGCCCACGGCCGATCCCTGGGCGACGCGTCGACGATTCCAGGTCAGCGTTCCCTCCCCCACCCTGAGCTCGCCCCCCCCTCCGCCCCTCTCGACCTTTGGCCTCGCTCGGACGTGTGCATGTTTCTCGCGGCGAGGACCATCGAGGAGCGTCCTTGATCATCGAGCCGGAAACAACACTCGCGAAACCGAAACATGCACGGGGAATGGACATCCGAGCGATGGCAAGGACCCCTCCTCTCCCCCCCCCCGCCTTGGCCCGCGCGGATTTCTCGGGTCGGTGCTGGAGCCCGCAGGAGGGAGCCCCAGAATCACGCGTGCACGAGCTCACGTCGGTGTCGAGAAAGCGCGCTACGCAAGCGTGACGCGGGAGCGACCTCACGTGTGGGGCGCGAGCTGAACGTCGATTTCGTGGACCGTTTTGTCTTTGGTGCCGTTCTGCGGCAGAGGCGGGACGAAGACAGGACGAGGGCAAGCGAACACAAACCGAAAACGGGAGGCACTGCTCAGCCCGAGTCCTGCTCACGAGCTGGGTGGATGGGGGCATGGTCGTGCACGTGACGTGTCTGGACGCGCACGCCCTGTTTGTGCTCCTCACTCCCCTTCCTCGCGCCCCCTGGCAGCGCCTCTGGTGCCGCCCGCTGCGTCTCGCTCCGCGCGTTGGGGAAGGGGTTTGCGGGGAGGGGGGCCCAGCGCCGATCCGGTACATCTGCGCGGGCCTCCGAGAGTTTGTACATGCTCGTGCAGCGTGTCTCCCCACAGGCAGCTCGTCCATGCCCGGGTTCTGTGCAGTGCCCGATTCGCTCGGTGAGGGGGCCCGGGCCCCCGAAGTCGGTGGCACGTCGTGGCCCCCCGCCGTGGCATCCCATCGTGGCCTCGTTCTGTCTTGCTGCCCCCTCCTCGTGGCCCCTCCTCGTGGCCCCCCCCCTCGTGGCCCCCCAGCGCCGTCGTTGCCGCCCCACGTTGAGACCAGCGTTGCCCCTCATCGTGTCCCCTCCTTCGTGGCCGCCCAGGGCTGCTCCCCCCTGCCATCGTTGTCCTCCATCGTGGCCACTCATCGTGAGGCTGTTTAGAGCGGCTTAGGGCATTCCGCCCGCAAGAGTGCCATGCTGTGTTCCTCCAGGACATGGACCTGGACAGCATCATCGAGTCGGAGCCTCGAGGGTGAAAGATGCCGATGCCGCTGCCCGTCTCTCGCTTTCGCCTTCTCGGGCCTCCTGGGAAGCCCCTTGCTGCCACGGCTGGATCCGCCTCGGAGTCCTGGTCGGAGTGGGCATGGGGAGAGGTCCGCGGAGCTCGGTCAGGAAATGTTGCTTGGCGTGTCGGGACGCCAGTTCTGGCCCACCATGCTTCGGTGCGACACGCTGACCACGCCCCAGCCCAGCGGCATCAACGCTCCGCGCTTTCCCCAGCCTCCCGTCCCGCGAAGCGGAGTGGCACGCTATCAATTCGCAAGGCACAGCGTGTCGCAGGGGCCGCCGCCGCGACATTCTGAGCGGAAGTTCCAGACCGTAGTTGTATCCATCTGTGTTCTGAGATCCGACGTTGCGGAACAGAAACGGCCAGAGCAATAGACCCGACCCCATGTTTGTGCTGCATTTTTCGAGCAGGATCGAGCTGTGATGGTCCCAAGGCTCGAACCTGGCGAAAACGCCCGACGTGACGCAAATGGTAACGCCCGGATCTCAGGCTGTCTCTTGGCGCCACCAGGAGCTCGGCGGCAAGGCCGGGGCGCGGCCGTACGGCAAGGCCAGGGGCGGCCGCGCCGGCCACGAGCGCTCCTCGCCGTTCGCGCTCTCGGGCTGCAGGGGCGCGGGCAAGGTCAGGGGCAGCAACACCTCCTCCTCTTCCTCCTCCTCCTCCTCCCCCTCCCCTGGGGGGGAGAGACGCAGGGGGGACGCATCGACCCCCGGCCCCGCCCGCTTAGGTTCGCGAGGCTTCGGCATCGGGGGCGCATCGCCGATCCATCGGCGGTGTTTCGCCGTTTCCAGGTCGACGTTTAACCCCCTGAGCTGGTCCCCCCTTGACGTTGCCCCTCACAAGGGGAGCGCCCCGGCCAGCTGCCGAGTGTTCGTCGGGAACCTGCCGTACAGCGTCCGGTGGCAGGAGCTCAAGGACCACATGCGGTCGGTGGGCGACGTCGTGTTCTGCGATATCATGGAGGAGCCGGGCACGGCCCTCAACTCCAAGGACCGTTTGGCCCGCGCCATGTATATTCCAGACGAGGGTGAGTCGAGACAACGGCAGTTGGCCTTTTGGGGCGCCCTTTTCGCCACGGCCAGATGCTGCTCGGAACATGTGTGCGGCTTGGACGCCGGGAGGGGCCCGGGGACCGCTTGCGAGCTGCCGTTGTCTCGACTCGCCTGGCTCCCGAGTGTAATCCACCGCTTCGGAGTGGTGCGCCCGCGATCTCGGGGACCTCCCGGGAGGCATCCCTCACATCCGGCGCCGCCCAGGGATCCCAGGGGCAGGACTCGGCCGCGCGCCCACGGTGGCAGGCAGAGGGGGCGGGCCCTGCCAGCAGGCTCAGCAGGCCTCCAACCATCTGAGAGCCCCGCCGCCTTCCTCTGCCTTCCCCCATGCGGCGCGCTGCCGGTTGCGTCCCTCCGCGGGCCCCCATTTGGGAGCTGCGTCGTGGCTGGTCCGGGCTCGCGCCATGGCTCTGTTTCTGCGCACAGGCCTTTCTGGTGAGGTCAGGGAGCGCGGCAGGGCCAACGTAAGTGCCACGCCAGATCGTGAGATTTGGCAGGTTCCCTGCCCTAGAATTCCAACGCTCTCCAGAACAATGACACAGCACGGCGATTGATGGGCTGTTGCGGGAGATGGTTGAAAACACTGACCATGCTGAAAAGGCTGTGCCCGCGGCCAAGCAGGGTTCATTTCGATCCGATCGATCCGATTCGACCGCGTTTCCGGCCGGCTCGATCCGCTCCGCTTCCGATAACTTGTCGATCCGGCACGGCGCGATGTCTGCATGGGCATGCTGTGCACATTGATCCGATCCCGACCCCGACTCCGAGCCGATGCCGCCCGATCCGCTGCACATTCCGATTCTCAGAGCGTGGATGACCTACCCCGCTTTCGCTTCCAGGCAAAACCAGGCCATACCACGCGCCTCCCCGTCGAGCGGCCTGACCAGTGCAGGCTGCAATTTGGCATCGTTTGGTATCTCTTGGAAGCGAGGGTGGGCAAAAGCGAGGTAGGTTTGTTTTCCTCCTAGATTCGATCGGGGGTGGACAGAACCCCCAACAGTGACACGTTGATTAGTGAATTGTCCGTTCTCGATTCTCGAGATGGCGCCGTGCCCGTTATTTTCCAGGCTTGCGCCCGCCATGTTTGGGCTTCAGGTCGTTTTCACTAAACCACGTTTTACTAAAGGGGGGTCTGTCCATCCCCGATTCGATCCAGTTTACCGAGCTGGTGCTGGCTGATCATTTCGGGTCGGGCGAAAGGGGGGGATTGGGAAAGGGGGGGTTACGAAATTTGCTGCGTGCAGCTGGTTTCGGCCTCACCGAGGGGCCACTTCCTCGATACATGGGCGCCTCCCGGCGCCGGGAGGCGCCGGGAAAATCAGCTCCGTGAGCTGATTCTCAAACCCCCCCTTTGCTATCCCCCCCTTTCGCCCGACCCGATCATTGGCCCCGGGCCCCGCAGCCCCGCCGCCCTCCCGGCCCCTCCGCCGTGGCAGCCGCGGGGAAGCCGCTCCGGGCTCCCCGACGCTCGTGCGCCGCGGCCCTCCTCCCTCCCCCTCGACCGCTCGCCCGGGCAGTGATTGTCGCGCATGCCCCGGCTCCTGGACGAGGAGCGGCGAGGGAGAGGGGGAGGAGGAGGAGGAGGAGGAGGCCGTGGAGGAGGAGGAGGAGGAGGAGGAGGAGGAGGAGGAGGAGGAGGAGGAGGAGGAGGAGGGAGGAGGAGGGGGAGGGGGAGGGGGAGGGTGGAGGGGGGAAGGAGGGGGGGAGGAGCCGGGGGGCCAGATGCACGAGGTCAGAGAGGTCCAAGGTCGAGGGCGAGAGTGGAGGAGTGCGCAGCCCTGGAAGGGCCGGGGGGGGGCGGGGAGGAGGCCGAAGGCCAGGGCTACCTGGAAGGCCAGGACAGGGTGACCCTGGCAACAAGTGTGGGTAGGAGCGTAGCCGTACTGGCACAGGCGGCGCCCTGTGCTTGCAAGCACGTGTCTTCAGTGCGGCTCGTGCTTGCGGGCCAAAGTTTTGTAACGATTCCGAGGACTCCCCTGCGGGGCCCATGGGACCGAGTCCGCCCCCTGACATCCCAGAGGTGCTGCGGGGGCCACGGAGGCCCTTCTGGGCCTGCGGCAAATGTGGAGTGGCGAGTGCGAACTGGGCATGTCGTGTGCGATGCTCCTGTGGGCAAGCAGCGCCCACCCGCATCCGCCAGGCTGCCTGGGACAACCACAAGAAGTGGGAAGAGGAACGCATTGCAGGAGTGGGGAAAAGAGGAGGCGGCCGACAGCCAGGTGCGGCGCCTGGCAAAGCGGCTGCCCCGTCGAACCTCTTCGAAAAGCGGCTCGAGGCAATTGAGAAGCTCCTGCGCAGTGCAGTTCCCCAGAATACGAATGCGCCGATGTCGAACTCTGATGGGAAGTCGAGTGCAGGGTCTGCCAAGCCTCCACCCTGGAAGATGGCCGTCGACCCAGCTCAGGCATCCCAGATCAGCGAGGACGACAGTGATGAGATCAAGAAGGCCAAGCTGGCTGCGCAGCTCGCGTGTTTCGACGCCAGCATCAAGTCTTTGCCGAGAAGCAGCGAAACTGAAGAGCTGCGGCAGAGCATCCAAGCCAAAATCGATGACATCAAAGTACGACAAAAAAAGGCTACGGACTCCAGTTGCCACCCACCGCAAGGCCACGCAAGACTTGCAGAAGGCGCCAGCGGCGGTCAAGAAGCTGGAAGCAGACATATCAGAGAAGGAGAAGTTGCTGGAGGAGCTCCAGACCTCTCTACAGACGAAGCAGGCTACGCTGGAGGCCAAGAGGATTGAGGTCACCACGTTGCAGGCTGAGGTTAGCACCGCCGCCCAGCAGCTTGCTGGACATGCACCCCCCCCTGCAGGAGTGCATGACCCACTGGACCTCAAGGCTGACGATGTACAAGATGATGATGTGCGACAGTTTCTGGCTTCGCCACTATGGGGCAAGCTACGAGAGGTCCTCGCGGCCAACATGCCAGGACCCAATATGGAAGTGGACCATGACAATGCTGATACTGATGATCACAAGCATGGCAACAATCCTGATGATGACGGACGTGGTGAAGCACAAAAGCGTGGATGTGATGAGCTGGACGAGTCCGAGCAGCAGCAGCTCATCGAGGCGGCCAAGTCAGGTGCTGAAGCTTTCACCGCCAAGCTCCGAGAGCTCGGCAAGAAGCATCGATGTTCCTAATGACGGGAATTTACCTCTCATGTCAGGGCTGCGGCTACGTGGTAACGTATTGAGGCAGCCAGCGACGCCAACGATGCAGGGAACGTTCAGCATAGAGACCTTCAATGCGAGTGGAGGTAGAGCTACGCTGAAATCACGTTTGGAGAGGACGAATGTTATGATTGTGCTGTGCCAGGAGATAGGCTTCACGGAGGAGACTCTGGAGGCGTTGTATTCATGGGCTGCTGGGGGGGCGCTGGAGATGCTCGGCCATGCCAGCGAGGGCCACCAGTGGCTCGATTCCCTCTGGAGGAGTTGCGGTGTTTGTACGAGATGATCTAGGACTGCGACACCCACCAGGAGGCCAGCTTATTTGTGCGCAGCGGCTACATATTGTGATCGTGGACATCAGAGGATGGCCGCCGATATCCATCCTCAACGTGTACCTGAAAGATTCGATAGGCCCAGCGGGCCTGAATGCAGAAATACTAGCGGCTGCGGGGAGGATACTGTCGGGTATCTCGGGGCCTGGACTGATTGCAGGTGACTGGAACATGGACGTATCCATGTTAGAACAATCAGGATTTCCTCAACAAGCGGATATGATTACAGTTGCCCCCGCGAATGTTACATTTCGAGGAGGCACGGGAGTGAACACGATCGGCTACTTCCGCCTGAACAATGCGATCGCGAGAGGATACAGAGGAGTACAAGCAGTCATGCAAGCGCACAAGAAAGCTCATCGGCCAGTCCAGCTGACCCTAGTCGACAACGGTTGCAGTATTCAGCACTCCGTATACACGGCATCGACAAAATTGCCTGCGACTCCGCCGCCTGGCCCTCGGACTCAGCCGATTGACTGGACACTGCGCGTTGGCGAGACGAGCGCCCGAACTAGCACAACATGAGAGCAGTGATCTAGGTGTTTCGCGGGCATTCCTGTCGAATGTATATGGGAAGTACGCAGTAGCGATTGCGGAGTATGTTGCGCAGACTGTGGGCATTGATCTCAAGCAGCCAGGTGCGCATGCACGGAACCTGGAGCCGCGATGGGCCGATGCACCGAGCAATATCTTAGACGACAGTGCAGTGCAGAGCGTTGCGAAAAGATGGCAGCGGCTCCAGGACAGCATTGCTACCATACAGAGGTTATATGCTCAGTCTGATCAAGATGGGACGATGCGATGTTATGAGGAGATCATGTCGTTCCTATCAGCACCTTTTCCAGGATCAGGGGTCAATGCCAGATTAGATTCCACGGTGGTCCAAGCACGAGCCTTCATCAACACGGTGCCAATGGACATGGATCGTTTCCAGCTACTCTTAGATGAAATAGCAGATGATGTGATATACGCAGGAAGAGGGCAGCTGAAGGATTCCAACCAAGCGTGGGCAGACTGGTGCAAGATGGCGATGCAGGGTGGCTCGAAGCCGCTGCATCGAGTCACAAAGATCAAGGCAATCCCGTCCCCTGCTGTGGCTACAGGGGTGCAGTCAGGAGACCCAGTCGTCATTGTGGCACAAGAGGTGGAGATGTATCGCAAGCTTTGGGAAGCTTCGGATGTCGCGCTGCCAGCCTGGGTGCCCGACCGATCGATATGCCCCAGACAGCGGATGATATACGCGATGCCGCCAAGTCGTTTGCAGCGACAACGGCTACGAGCTTCGACAATCTACGCCCGCGGCACCTGTGCTTGTTGGGCGACGAAGGTCTGGATATTCTCAGCATGTTGATGGCCGCGTCGGAGGCAATCGGTATGTTGCCGAAGCAATTATGTTGGATTCAGATGCCGTTGCTGGGACAGCCGTCAGGA